TCATCCCAGCGAGTTCCTGCCGCTCGCTCTATGGCCCAGCGGCCATTTGGAGAATTGCTCTGACGGCGAGGTCTGCAGCTTCTTGCAATCTATGACAAAGTCAGGTCCTGAGACGACCGAAACAAACCAACGCAAGCGCGCCTCACGGTATTTGGAGATACCCCCTACTCCAAATACCCACTTTTGTCAGGGTATCATGGCAACCCTTTACTGAACAAGGAAGTATTTACCCTGGAAAACCAGGTTTCCTGCCCCCCAAACAAATATTTGGAGTGCGGGGTATGTTAATGCTGACACATGAGGGCGCTTCCCGTTTCTTGCTCCGGATTCTGAAAGTTATCAGATCGCATGTGTTGGCATTGCGTTGGACACTTGCAGTTCAACAGGGTTGCAGTTTCACTGCATCCGAGCTTGTCTCTTTGCACCAGCGGCGGTCCTGCTATCGCTTGGCCGCTTGGACTAGATTTCAGCACCAATTCAACATACCCTATACTGGTCTCTTCATCCTATTGACCTGAGGCAAGAGCCTAAGCTCAAAAAATGGTATCGACAACACGGGAAAACGCTCCAAAAACCCTGCACAGGTGCTTATGGAAGATCGTGGTCATTTCACATGGACCCTGTGCAAGCTCCATGTTTGCCTTCCTGAGGGTATTGTTCATCCGATTGAGCCCCCCAACATGAAACCTACCCGCTTAAAGACCGCGAAAGAAATGTGTTGCCGCATGTTCCCGCTTTATAGAAATCTCCTGCTACCCTTTGGGTCCATCCCTGGCTCCATGCGCGAGAGCGATTTCGCCCGAGCCGGCGACGCTCTGTGACAGCACTCCTGGCGATCGGCGAAGCTGAAGCCGAAGCCGAGGGTTTCAAGTGAGCTTTGTCTAGGTCCTCCAGTAGAGAAGGGTACCTTTTTTTCTGTAGTGTGGGGAACCCTCCCCCCAAAAAGAAACGGTAAAGGGCACCTAGCTGGGGGACCTAGTTGCAGACCAGCTCCCCTCCAATTGGTGTAGTCTGGTTTGGTGGTTAGGGGGTTTTCACTTGCCCTCTACAAGACCCATGGGTTCAATCCTCTATATCAAACCACAATCAGGGCAACCTGCGCAGACCAAAGTGGCCTTCCCTCCAATTTGCACGATCTTCTGACTCGGATGTGCCTCTAATTATCACAAAATCGCAACTTCTTTCTTCAAGCATGCATGTTGTGGCACGTTTGGGGCCGGGGTGACGGCCAGCCACGCCAGGGCCACCAGAAACCTCGATAAAATCCGATTCCGGCACCAGAATAGAACCGATGGCCCGCGGTACGCGGTGCGCGAGGGAAATCCGGGTATGGCTCAAATCGTGCGAGCCAGGGGACCGCGGGTTTCGGTCTGGCCAGGTTCCATTCTCAGCCTGTTGAGCCACTCCCAATGGCTGTCCTCAGATCCCCCGCAGGTTTAACTTTTAGTGGGTGAAATGGACATCCAACCACTAAACACTGAAAGGCCAAAAGCTAAGGGTATGGCTGGGAGCCCACCAAGCCAAATCGATCGTCTACCAGATCGAAAACTTTGACAGCACTCCCAAATCTGCCACTTCCAACCACAGGACATCCAACCGCGAATTGAGAGCCGGCAAACCTGTGGGTCTCAAAGGTGCTAAGCGGCCCAAAAAGTGGAATCTTCCGTCTTGAAAACCAAATGGCTATGCTCGAAGCAAGGACGCCCTGTTTGAAGCAACCAAAAAACGTCTCCTGCAAAAGAAAAACTAGGTCCTCCAGTAGAGAGGTTAGAATAAGGGTACCAACTTGTTTCTTTTTGTCTTTTTGAGTAGGGGAACCCTCCCAACCAAAAAAGTTGGTAAAAGTTGGCACCTGGCTGGGGGACCTAGCAAAGGGCTCCCGTAAAAGAAACACAGGACCTGGAGTCTCCATGACCCGAATCAAAATGGGTCAATGAACCCATCATTTTGGGCAATGACCAACCATTTCTTAAGGGTCCTTCGGGAAAATCTCCAGGCAAAGTCCGAGTTTGTCTTCTCAGGGTACCCCTTTTCCGGGGCTTCCAAGCCGCAGAAACCGCCTTCCGGGGCTTCTAAGCCTGTGGGGCTGTTGGAGAAAACCGCATGGCCGGTTTCGGACACCGCCCCTAATCTCAGCCTGGTGCGGCCACCGAAGCCGAAGACCAGGAAGACCAGCTCCTCCAACTTGGCCTCCACTTTACCTCGCGACGGAATTTGGTGGGCGGAATCCACGGAAGTTCACGGGGGACCTTCCAACCGGGCGAGCTTCCTGGCATCACACTGGCATACACAGGACAGGAGCCCAAGATTTCTAGGGGTAACTTCCAATTCCATTCTATCCAGGGATCCGGATCGTTCTAGAAAACCTCCGGAATTCTCGGGCAAACGGCTGGTTATTGAAAAGAACGATGGTTGAAAAGAATGAGGAATCAACCCCTAGAGAATTGGTACCCGAACCATGTGTTTTTTCCCCAAAGCCCTCAACATTCCAACTTCAAATAGGTTCTTGCACCCAAAATTATGGTTGGTGACTTCCCAGCTTTCAGGGTACCTTTTTTCCCCCCCAAAGCCCAGTTGACTCACCCAGTTACAGAGTCAACCATAGAGTTGCGTTCTTTTTGCTGGCTTTGATTAATTGATGGCATTGCTGTCGCCATGGGACATAACCTATGGCGATCCCATTTTGGGGTGGATGAACATCCATTTACCACCTATTTCGATGTTCACAGGGGTACAGGGTTTTGACCCACTGCCAATTGTTTTTGTTGGTTTTTTTCCCCAAAGCCCTACACAACAAATACCTAGAGTCTCCTTGACCCTTGAAAGGATGGTTGGAGGCTACCCCAAATAATGGGGTCATTGACCCATTGTTAAAGGGTCATGGAGACTCCAGGTACAAAGCAAATAAGTGTTTTGGTCGAAAACGAAGAACATAGTGAGAGAAAGGAGTGGCAGGTTTTGGGGGAAAAACCACGTTTCGGAAGCCTCCCCCCCAAAACAAAACAAAAAGAAAGGATCTTTCTCATGAGCTCGTTTACGCCTAGGCGAGCTCGCCATAAATTTGCTGCTTAAAAAATAGATGGGGGTATCAGGGCTTTGACCCACAGCCAAATGGCAACAATTTCCTTAACCTGTCCCATTTGAATGCCAACAAGGGTTTTGAGAGACTCCCATTTGGGGGTGCCTGGAATTCTTCTTACATGGGGTCGAACCCCCCAAAATGGAGCGCTTTCAGTCGGCTTCCATTTCAGAGTCAACTCCGGGCATTTGTCAGGTCGATACAAAAAGTATCAAAAAGTGACCCAAAATGTAAAAAACATCTTGTTGGTTGGAAGATGTCATATTCAGGGTTGGGCGGATGACAAGCCTGGATGTTGCAAGGTTGGGCCTCTTGTCTCCCTTTCAAGCTTGTCACACCGAAACAAAACTGGAACCGTGTTTCGGGGTGCGGGGCGGCCAAACATTTTCCCTGCAGATATGGTGAAAGATCCGAATTCCGGAAGCACCTCATAATTTTGGCGCGGGCTGAGCTTGGGGATCGCATCGTTTCATTCGCGCAACTCAACGTGAGCCCTTAGGCGCCTGACGAACAACACATCCAGCCAAGCTCGAGATTTCTGAGATGGGTGTTAGCTAAGCGGAACCGGTGAGAAAACGCAACGACGCCTGAGTCATACCCCGCACACCTGATATGTGAATGTGTTTTTGTTTCAAGAACCATCAAACACAAATACATACAATAAAATACAAAAATCCAGAACCGATGGTAAAGAATATAAAGGGTTTGTGGCCGCAGCTGGCGGCATAGCTTTCAGTACCCAGGTGAAATCTGCTCCCCCCAAACTGGGCTTCATTCTCCCCCTGGTGTTCAAGCGCATGGGGCTCCCGGAAGTGAACGACAGGAAGTTTACTTGGCAAAAAGTTTAACTTTTTGCTCCTGAATGGCGATGGTCGGAAACACGGCCGGACAAGGTTGTTGACTTTTTGCTGCTTAAAAAGAAATATGAGGGGAATCCAAAAAGTACAGTTTAAGTCAATGAGTGCGAGTTATCTTGCAACACGCTGTCAGGCGAAACGCGCGGCTGGAGCCATGAATTCATTGGTTTGGGGGATTTCAGGTATCTGCACCTTGCTGCAAGTGAACTGTCCCTTACGAAACCTCAATGACCTGAGTGAGGTCATTGAACAACCCGCCAAGCATGGACAAAACCTGTGTTAGGAGCTTTCGAAGAGAACTGACATGGCAGCAAAGGGTTTTGCCACTTGTTTCTCAAGGTGGCTTGAACAAGGAAAGACACAAAACCACAAAACCAAATGGGTGTTTCCCAAATATGCCCCCCCCCCCCCCCCGTGGATGGAAACGAAACACAAAAAAATCAATCACCCAGGAGGGCCCGCGTTGCAAGAAACACCCAAATTGGCGAATCCAAATCTGGTGCTTTCCATTTAGGGATTCTAAGTTGAACACCTGTTGTGGTGATTGTTCATGCTTCCTGGATATTCGAACCAAGAATCCTTGACCCCCCTTTCTCCCCCCAACCGGCTTCCGACCTGGCTTCCGGCCCGAGACCCCCGAGGCTCCGAGGTGCAGCAGGAGGTGTCCAGCTCGAGGGCCGCCAGCTGCTCGCTGTGCTTCCCGAAGATCCGCAGCTTCCCGTCCAACCCCGCGCAGGCCATGCGGCACCCGCCCCCCTGCCAGGTGACACGAAGAGACGAAGAGGAAGTCGGGCAAAACGGGACGCCCAAGACGGGGTCCAAAATGCGGAGGGCGGGGCGAGACGGGAAACCAAACCCCAAAACCGGGAAACCAAACCCCAAAATGCGGCCAGCGGGGCGACACCGCTTTGAGCCAAACATGTTCTACAACTTGTTTCTTACCCCTTAAAACTCCAAGCCCTGGGGAAGTTAATCTTTTACAGACATATAGCCCATGTTACCCAAAAAGTTGAAAAGTTGTGTTTTTAAGAGGTGAGGTTTTTACACACCCTCTCGTGGGCATCCCTGGCAACATGAGTCCACGTGCAGATTCGCTCTCGCCCTCAGGAGTTAGAAGGCCAAAAGTCGGGACTTTTGGACGGGTTGTGTCCGTCCAACTCCCCCTTTGGCTGCGTTCCGAAAATACAAATTGGACCCCTAAAACACTTGGTGTCCTTTGGTTTCCCTTCAAACACCAACCAAAAGGGGGTGCGAATTCCATTGTGAGAACTTGAGACCCCCCAAGTTGGAGGCGAAACCAGCTTTGGGAATCTGCATCGCAGGCAGGCACCTCCGGCAGTTCCAGTGCGGCCGCAGCGCTGCCGCTTTGGGCGACCAAGTGCACCTAAGCTTGGTCTCAAGGCTTCCAGCGGGATTACTATTCAACAAAACGTCTAGAGGGTGATTCCTCTTCCCTTTTTCCCTTTTTTGGGGGAGGGCGGCTCCAAACTGCCCTTTTTGATGGAAGCTGAGTAAGTAGTCGCTACAGGGGTTGATTCCTTGTCCATTCTTCTCAGCCATCATTCTTTTCAAAACCAGATCCATTTCCCCAGGGCTTTTGGTGGTTTTCTAGAAAGAAGGATCCTGAAAAGACTGGGGAAGCTACCCCTAGAAAACACACAGGTCTCTTTTTTTGTGAGGAGCAACAAGTTTTCCGGTTTTCCTTCCAAGCGTTTGGCTCCGGGCCGTCATGGCGTACTTGCAAATATGCAGTGGCCCTGTCGATTTGTTGCTTCTCGCCCTCAAACATTCCCTGTGCGCTGAGATGCACTGAGTGCCAAAGGTCAGACCCCTCAGAGCCGCAACCTGTCCTCTAGGCTAGTTTGACTCAATTTGGCCCCAAGAAAAACCAGGTCGAGCGGGCTTTGGCCAAGCGAGTCAAACCAAGCACAAACAGCCTCGCAGTCAAGATGTCGCTTTTGTGGACTCGGCAAGCCAACTCTCCCTGCGACAAGCTGCAGTTTGCAAAGCCAGTTTGCTTTGCATCTTTGCCCATTCCAGGCTGACTACAAGGATGCAGGGGCGCTGAAGCGCAAATTTGCCACACACCGAACATGCAATTCGTATGTGTTTGTACTGGGCTCCTAAAACACCCAGACAATTCCCTGAGTTTGAAGGTGCAGGGTGAGCCTTTCTGACGCCACCTGGAACACTGACATGTACTTGCGCCTGTCATGCCTACATGGGAAGTTGCGATTGTCACGAGCCCCATGTGCGAAAACCTGCAAGGCCCTGATTTTTTTTTTTTTTTTTTTTTTTTTTTTTTAAAAAAAAACATGGTTGAATCATTTTAATACTGTATGCTTTTTTGAAAAACAAATCCTTACAATATCTCTTAAAAAAAACAATCAATCAATGGTTAACCCGATTCAACCCACTGCCCGCCGGCCAAAAACGTCTCCCAAGGCGAAACGCAAACCCCGCCAAGAGAATCTCTCGGAGAGCGTTTCGGCTTGAAACTCCACGGGGTGTGTTCCGGCTTGGGCGTGGCTTCCTGACCCTAAAACCTCGAAGCTCCAAGCGCGAGGGGTAGCTCCAAGAGTCATGAAAACAAGCCAGCGCCGAAGTCAGCTGACCACGAATCCTCCATCTTTCATCCTTTTCCCTTAAGGCAAGCCCCTTCCTTCGAGTGAGACAAAGGGGTGTCCCCGAAAACCCTCCCCAAGACCTAAACCCAACAGCACGCCCCAAATCCAGAAGTTGGGGACTGACCATATCCATAGCTGTCGCAGGTGAAAGCGCAAACCCCTGACTGATAGCTGCTGGGGGAAGAACAGCAAAGACCCCTTCAATGCGCGCGTAGGTGATACCTGGAAACCGACAAGGAAGACCGGGAAGGCTATTTGTTTGAGGAGGCTCCTTGTTTGAAGGGCCAGAAGATTCCCAGCCATAAGGGGCAATTCCAATTTCTGGTATCCCCATAAAGGACAAATGGAACCCAGAAACGGAGATCACACCCTTCGCCTTTGTAAGGGACCTAGCGGTGAATGCCAAAAGGAGGCTCACAAGTGACAAACAAAAACAGTGCTCCCTCCCTGAACATCACCCCACCAAAAGGAAACTCACTTTCAAGTGGCCCAAAAGGCGGTGTTTCAATCCAGTCCTTTCGAGACTACCCCTCGTATGGATCTTTCAAACCACCAAACAATTTGGGGAATTTTGGGGCACCCCTTCCAAAACAACACAAAATCCAACAAACACCACAGAATCTGGAGGCTTCAAGCCACCAAAATCCCCCCCTTCCCCCGTGAGAGCCCAGGGCGCGAGGCCACATGCCCAGGCCTCAGTGGCGCGGCTCACCCAGGCGGCCCACTGGGACTGGAGCTCGTTGAGGCTGCTGGACCTGAAATCCTCCACCCGGTCCTTGCGACGACTTGCGACGAACCGTAAGGAAGCAACTTGGCTCCACTCCACTCCTCTCCTTTGAGTCCTTCCCTCCCTCAAACCCTTCTGCGAACTGTGATGAAAACCGGTGGGTGCGATAAAAATGCCCTACTCACCGGCTGAGTGGATGGCCCAACAAAAAGTCCAAACTTTGTATTTACCACTAAAACGGTCTTCCCAAAAAGTTTAAAGTTCATGAACTCAGGAAGTCAGCCTACGCGAAACCAGGGAAGGAGTCAAACGAGCGGGCTTTCGCACCCATCATTCCTTCGCTTGCCCAGGTTTCAATGGTGGCTCATGACCACCCTCAGCAACCGGACCAACTCACGAGGGAGCGGTGTATTTTTTCACGACGCCTAAAGAGTGCTATGTTGATGGCGTGTGTGCGTGTGATTATGTGTGTGTGACGTATACCAGGTTCTGATCACTAAGGAGCTGACCTTGGAAAGGCAGTTTTTCCGGAGTCTTGGACGGGAAACCGGCGAGGAGCATTTTTACCTCTTCAACACCCTCAAGGTAGGGCACAAAACTATCATTGTCAGACTTTCTTTCATAGCCCACCTTGAAATGCAACATCTACTTAGGAGGAAACCCTAAAACAAGATCCCAGAAACGGGACCACAAGAGGAGCTTTAACAGTATGCAAACTTTGTGCAATATGGATGCAAAACATCCTGAAGTGGTAGGTGGTTTATCCGGGCTTCAACCATCCCAACTGGTGCGGAGTGGATTTTGTTCATCCACAGTGACATCCTCGAAATGACCAGAGCAAAAGGCACCAGAACCCAAAAAACAGTATGAGACATCAAACGTAAAGGATTCAGTGGGCTCAGGATCAGGACAAAGGGCTCTTTATGGCGATGGTTGGACTCAGGATGACTCACCCAAAGAACGCATAACGGCACTAAGAAAGTGGAGGGACAACAAGGAACCCTAGGACACATTCAGCTGTGTGCAAATGTAAATGCATGGTATATGTGTGTATATATATATATATATGTGATTGCACTTGTGTGTGTATATTGCTATTGATCTGGGATATGTGCAACATATCTTAATTATGTGTGTTTGTTTGGGTGTCTGTGTGTGGAAGGGTGCGGGGTAAGGGTACTGCGGTGTGGGCGCTCTGTTGGTATCTTTGCCTTCCAGTCGGTCAAGCACAATGAAGGCAGGAGGGTTACTTTGGCTGCTGGGCTAGCTGCCTTGCTCCTATAAGGACTGGCAGCTTGAATCACTGAAGGGTTTACCTTCTGCCGCTCCCTTCGGTTGGAACAGATATCAGGAACAGGCCACACTCCGAACCATCAAAAAACAAGAAAAAGCCTTCGAACTTCGAACAAGCACAGCCCATTCAGTTCGCAGCCGGAATCGCCACTCACTCCCAAACATCAAGAACACCTTCGAACAACACACAGCCCATTCAGTTCGATTTCCGCCGAAATCCCCCTTCGCCACTGGCTCCCCCCAAATCGGGGGCTTGAGGCCCCAAAATCGGGGTCTCCTCCATCTGTCGCATCAGCTGCTGCATGCGCAGCCGCTGCAGTTCCCACAGCCGGCCCTCCCCTTCCGCCGGAGGCGCCGCTGAAGCCGCCGGAGCCGCGGGCGGCGCGAGGGAGCCGCGCACCGGAGGCTTCCTGGGAGGGTGAGTCCATTTACCCATGGCCACCGCAAAGGCAAAAACAGCCCTTAGAAAAATCAAAGGGACACAATGGTTGGTCACCTATTGTGGGAACTGGAATAATTACCCTGGGATACTCGTAATTGCCCGTTCAAAACCAAAAGCACAAATAGTTGGGTACCTACTATATTGGGAGAATTACTCTTGGGGGCGAAATAGGTTTACACAGGGCTTCTGCAACCCATGGGCCGTTTCGGGCGCACCCTTTGCGAGCAGAACATCGTAACTCCCCTGCAACTCACCTGGAACCCAATGTGGAATTCCGCATGCAAACCTTGGGATGGGAGCGTCATGGCCACCTTCTTGTTTGTCCATCTTCAGTTCCTCCCTCAAATTACTGCACACCCTGAGGATCCATAAGTGACTTCGACCGTTTTTTGCGTGAGGGGTGACAAATCGAGTCCAACACACACACACACAAAAAAAAAAAACGACCAGCGGGGGGTCGTAGAAGACGGATCCAAACTGACCCGAAGCAGGTTCCGAGTGTCCAGCCGCCAGGGTAGTGCTTCTCTGGGGAGGCCAGTGGAAGCTTCTCCTGGCGCGTCGCCTCGCGGTTCACAAAGTCCGCGATGCGCTCCTGACCCCACATGCATCACAAGCAAAACCTGGAATTAAAACAGTCTAGGTCCTCCAGTAGAAAGGTTAGAATAAGGGTGCCCATTTTTTCTGCAGTCTATGCTATTGGGGGAACCCTCCCCCAAACAAGGGCATAGTAAGGGCACTACTGGGGGACCTAGATAGTGTACCCAAACCAATGTACAGAACTACAAAGGCGGCCGCAACTCATTCTTGCTGTGACTTTCCTTGCTAACCTTCACTTACCCGCGCTGTGATTTTGCCTCACATGCAGGGCTCAAAAAAACCAAAAGCCTCAGGGGGCTCGATCCCTTCCGACATCAGCTGGTAAGGGTCGTTGAACGCCCAAATCCTCCATGACGCTTAAAAAATGGGTCATTGACCCCATTATTTTGGGTAATGACCAACCATTTTTTCAGGGTCATGGAGACTCCCGGTATCCGTTGCAGGCGCCCCCTGGAGGCTTGCCCTCGGGGCAAAACAGGTACCTGCTCCGGGGCTCTGGGCCGTGCAAGAGACCCGATTCCAGGCGGGCCCCTCGTTTTGACGGCACCCTTTTGGGTGTTTATTGGCAAACAGTGGGAAAACCAAAATCCATTTGGGGGCCCTAAAACACAAACAAACAAACAAACAAACAAACAAAGACACAGACACAGACACAGACACAGACACAGACACAGACACAGACACAGACACAGACACAGACACCAGACAACAGACACCAGACAACAGACAACAGACAACAGACAACAGACAACAGACAACAGACAACAGACAACAGACAAAAGACAACAGACAACAGAGACACAGAGACACAGAGACACAGAGACACAGAGACACAGAGACACAGAGACACAGAGACACAGAGACACAGAGACACAGAGACACAGAGACACAGACACACAGACACACAGACAGACACACAGACAGACACAGACAGACACAGACAGACACAGACAGACACAGACAGACACAGACAGACACAGACAGACACAGACAGACACAGACAGACAGACAGACAGACAGACAGACAGACACACAGACAGACAGACAGACAGACACAGACAGACACAGACAGACACAGACAGACACAGACAGACACAGACAGACACAGACAGACACAGACAGACACAGACAGACACAGACAGACACAGACAGACACAGACAGACACAGACAGACACGGACAGACACGGACAGACACGGACAGACACGGACACGGACACGGACACGGACACGGACACGGACACGGACACGGACACGGACACGGACACGGACACGGACACGGACACGGACACGGACACGGACACGGACACGGACACGGACACGGACACGGACACGGACACGGACACGGACACGGACACGGACACGGACACGGACACACGGACACGGACACGGACACGGACACGGACACGGACACGGACACGGACACGGACACGGACACGGACACGGACACGGACACGGACACGGACACGGACACGGACACGGACACGGACACGGACACGGACACGGACACGGACACGGACACACGGACACGGACACGGACACGGACACGGACACGGACACGGACACGGACACGGACACGGACACGGACACGGACACGGACACGGACACGGACACGGACACGGACACGGACACGGACACGGACACGGACACGGACACGGACACGGACACGGACACGGACACGGACACGGACACGGACACGGACACGGACACGGACACGGACACGGGACACGGACACGGACACGGACACGGACACGGACACGGACACGGACACGGACACGGACACGGACACGGACACGGACACGGACACGGACACGGACACGGACACGGACACGGACACGGACACGGACACGGACACGGACACGGACACGGACACGGACACGGACACGGACACGACACGACACGGACACGGACACGGACACGGACACGGACACGGACACGGACACGGACACGGACACGGACACGGACACGGACACGGACACGGACACGGACACGGACACGGACAGACACAGACACAGACACAGACACAGACACACACACACACACACACACACACACACACACACACACACACACACACACACACACACACATTTTTTGGGGTTGATCAATATTTCTTGCCCCCAAATGACCTGTGGTAACGTTTCCCATCTGGAAAATATCATCTTCTTTGTGGTTTTCCAATTGTCATCCCATGTTCATCGGACCTTTTGATCAACCCCCATTTCTGCAACGGGTCATGGCCTTGATCAACCCCTCATTTCATTGACTAGGTCCTCCAGTAGAGAGGTTAGAATAAGGGTACCCTTTTGAAGTTGTCTATTCTGGTAGGGGAACCCTCCCCCAAAAAAGTGTAAGAAAGGGCACTGCTGGGGGACCTAGTTGAACAGCTGCCCGAACTTTTCCGCCTGGTTCATGGCCAGCTGAGCTTCCTTTTCCGCCACCTGGGCGCTGAGCTCAATGACCGCCTCGCAGCTCGGAGCACGGCTCACGCCCCACGCGGGCGCGCGGGCGCGTGTGCGTGCGCGTGCGGGTGCGCGTGCGCGCGCGCGTGCGTGCGCGTGCGTGCGTGCGAGCGGGGGGGTGGGTGGGTGTGGGTGGGTGGGTGGGGGTTGGTGGGTGGGTGGGTGGGTGGGTGTGCCAGTATGAACACATGAGGTCTTGGAAGCCAAAAAAATCCTGTTTCCCTGCCCACGTTTAGGCAGAAAAGCTCATGGTTCCATATGCTTCGGTCCATTGGGACAGCTGGTGAAACATGAAAGTGAACTCAACAAGTGAGGATCGTGTCACCAGCAAAATGCCTCTCACTTCAAAAACATGCACGTTAAATATACATCGCTCATCTGCTTTGGCAGATCAGCTGGGTTCCAATGAAATCAGCCGGCGTTGTTCAATCTTTCAATATTTGGAGCTTTACCAAAACCAATCAATGATTGTTCCCGATCTCAGCACAAGAAACCAAAGCCTAGAGTGAATTGAACCAGAGTGGGGGCAGTTTCCTAAAACTTGAATGCGCGAGCAAAAGCCTCGTACTGTCAGGCTCGACACATTCTACGAAACCAGGCATGAATCAGCGTCTGCTCCCGATCAGGAACCCCCGAAAAGGTCTCCTGATCAGAGATTCTTCACCTGGAGTCTCCGTGACCCTCAAAAAAAAGGTCATTAGCCAAAAGCAAAGGTTGTCATGGCCCCATTTTGGAAGGGTGACGGAGACTCCAAGTACAAATGATGGCCTGGGGGTTGTTTTCAATCAGACTCACAAACCGCCACGGTCCTGCCTCCCGCATAGTCTTCACCTCTTCTTCCTTGCGCTGCAATTCCCCTGCGCGGCGCAAATGTCACATGTCGTGATCCGCTAAAGTTGTGCCTTGGAACCCTTCTAAGGCTTGCAATCAGTTCTTTGGTGTTGAATCCTCGATGCAAGTAGTGGTGTGGAACATGTTTGTCAACAAACAAAATGTCGACATTGACATGCGTTCAGTTGGCTCGGAACCCACACTATCAAACAGTTGGTAAGTCTTAAGGATCATCATGGCAAGAAGCCATAGCCCTCGGCTTAGTTTCAATCAAAGCTTGTGGCCTGACCCTTGGTGTTTTTGCCTCTTTCCAATGGAAGCCGAGGCCTGGCTTGGAATTCCCTTCCCGTCCCGCCAATGGCGAGCCGTTCCACGCGTCGATGGCGCGCGCCTGTCACCGCCTCGTCCAAGGTCTGGCCCACGCGCTGCCGGCCGCCGATGGCGCCCCGGCGCGCGGAGGAAGTCTCCAGGTCGGTGACCCTCGACCTCGCAAGGCCGCGCCGGCGGGGGGAGGGCAACATGGGAAGCGGCCTGGAACTAGACACCAAAGAATGGGTAATTCGTCCGAACTACACATAAATATGGGTGAAACATCTCCTGAATGGGGTGACCTACTAGCTTGATGGGTAGGTTGAGGGAAGTAGAAGGAATACCACCCAGAATGAAGGGGGGGCGGGTACCGATGACGAGTTTTTGGCACCCTCTTTTGCTAGAGGCTTGCTCTTCCCTTGAAAACTAAAGCTCTCGCACACACGTACTCAAATAAGGATGCATTGTAACAAATCCGTTCTTTGATTTGTTCAAACGCGTCTTTGCATCGTGCACTCCCAAAGCAATCCACCGAGTTCTGCTTCTACGCCTTCAGCAACCCAGGGAAGACATGAAAACGCGTTTGCGCTGAATAAGACACCAATGTTTTTTTGCTCGTCCACTTCGCAGGATGATAGCTGGAGGGTCAACCTTGCATGTGGGGTTCATGCTAGCGGTGCGATGTAACTCAGACATCAACAGCTGAAACATCCACAACCCCCCCCCCCCCCCCATATGCACGTGGGGGACACCAGCAAACCAAACAATGAGGAACATTCAAACCGCAATTTGCAAGCAAGGCCAACTATGTTCTGTGAAAATAACATGCACTGTTGCTCACTGGGTCTCTGGTGCTTCCAAATCGCTGAGTGTCCTTACCCTGACAGTATCTCACCTACCGAATGCGAGGCATCGTACACAACATTAAATTAGGGAGTGCACGCTGAACCTGCGAATCCAATAGGTGACAAACATATCACCTGCACCTGTCGTGCGTGTGCAACTGCAAGTGCCTATGCGTATGGGCTCACGTTGGGCGGGTAAGGGTATTCGAGTGCATATGACTATGTTTGTATGTGATGTGATGCGATGTGATGCGATATGAAATGAGATGGGCGCCGTGTGTGTGTGTGAGAACTTAGCCAGCGCTTTCAGAGTATACTGTCATTGAGGATAACACCTAGAGTCTCCACGACCCTTCAAAAATGGGTCAAGGACCCCATTATTTTTTGGGTAATGACCAACCATTTTTTAAGGGTCCTTAGGGAGACTCCAGGCAAATAAACATTTCACAGGCTCAGAGTTGACATCAGAGTGTGTGATCATCATCACCTCCACGGCCCTTTGGGCGGATCCACAAAAGTGTTTTTTTTTTGTGTTTTTTTGTTTTTCCGCCTCCGTCGCTTTCAGCCTGCGCTGTTGGCTGACTGTCACATTTCGGCCTGCGCTGGAGCATGCGTTTGCAGTCCGCGCAAAGCCGGCGAAGGGGGATGGGGTCCCATTTTTGCACTTTTGCTCGAAATCTGAGACTTGATCGTGTCCAAGACCCCTGCAAAAAGTAAACAAGAATGGAACCTTTGATAGATTCTTGCGCAGTGCCTCACTTTGAGGCTGCGCACGGGCACATGGCCAGGACAAAAGAGAGCGCTCTGAACTCGGGCTGAAAAGCGTGGTGGAAAGCCTTTAGATGGGCCAAAGTCCTTGAATCAACGCTTTGCAACACCCTTTCTGGCGTTCATGTTGACCGGATTCATAACCCCCTGTTTATTAATATAGGGGTGTTCCCCTCCAAAAGTCTGAATCTCCAGTAAAACCAGGGACACCCCTATATTAATAAACAGGGGTTGATGAATCCGGGGTCATTAAGCTTGAACCAGCACATACCTTCACTTTTTGGCTCACCCCTCCCTGGCAGCGGTGTCTTTGCTTGACCGTCTGCTCTCACGCAATCCTCCGCCAGCGAAAACTCGCCATTTGTTTGGAGACGGCAGGAGTGCAACTCGGGGCACAAGAGGATGCCCTGCCAGCCAGGGTCAAGTTTTTCATACTCCCCTGGACTCACTTCGGCGTGGGAAGTGCAACCAATGTAGTGATATATTGGTGAATGCCAGCTGACCGGCTCACATCGGTCTATTAGACCCTTCCCCAGCTGACTGGCTCACATGCCATCAGTCTCTTAGACCCTGCCCAAGACATCTCGCACATGAACCGCTTTCACCGGATTCTCCAAGAGCTCCCTTGCTTCATCCTGCGCATGGAAGATCGCCAGGTCCAGTGCCGTGCGCCCTGAGGAGGTTTTCTTGCCTGGGTCAGCTCCCTCTGCCAGTAGCAAGCGCACCGCCTGGGCATCACCAAGCTTGGCCGCCACATGAAGTGGGTACACCTGTTCCTTGTCCGCAAAGAACAGCTTGCCAAGGCAAGAAGAAGAAGACAGCTGTGGCTCATCCACGCACTCAAACCTGCAAGCAAAGAGTTTCCGAGCCTTATGGATTCAACCAAATCATATCATTCTCATGGAACCCTAGGGGGGCTATGGTTATCCCTTATTCACCTTCATAAGGCCTTAAGGGCTTATCCTTGGCTTCTCCCGGGCTTCTCCAGGCATGGCCCCCATAGCCTCCCTCAAAGGCCCCCTCGTAGAATTCCCTGAGTTTTGGAATCTACCTGAAGTCTCCTTCTGACCCTTCAAAAATTAGTCGGTCCTTGCCCACCATCATGGGGTCATTCACCAAATTGTTTGATTCGGGTCAGAAGGAGACTCCAGAAACCAAGCAAGCAATAAAAAGGATCATCCTAGAGTCTCCATGAGCCTTTGAAAATGGTCGGTCCTTCCCCAAAATACAGGTGTCATGGACCCAACTTTGATTCGATTGATTCGGGTCAGAACCAGGTCCCCAGGTTGAAGCCCAGTAGCTTGTGATGCCGCAGGAAGTCCTGCAGGTACTGCTGCTTCTTGCGGCGCAGCGAGCTTCGCTTCACGCTGGACCCGCCGCTGCGCGGCGTCGTCTCCAGCTTTGAGGCCTCCGACTCCACGGAGCCATCCCTCTTCGGCACGCCCAGCAGCATGAGCGCTGCACTTCGCGGAGGAAAAGGGGCGTAAAAGAGTTCGCCTTCGCGGCGGAAGATATTTTTATTTTCTTGCAACAGCCAAGTTATGTGTTTCTGGAGTCTCCAGGACCCTCAAAAAATGGGTGGTCATTACCCAAAATAATGGGGTCATTACCCAAAATAATGGGGTCATTAACCCATGTTCAAAGGGTCATGGAGACTCCAGGTTCTTTCAGATACCCCGATCTTGGACCGTGAAACAACTTGCCTTGTTCCAAAAAGAGCAAAACCAAGGGCCCGGTTTTTGCGGGCCCTTGGAAGCCCAACAAATACCCAGCACATAAAATACCGATGGCCTTTTTCGGGAATGGTTTTGAGCATGTGGCTTCTTCGCTTTGAGGCTGGGCTTTTCTTGGAGGGTCGCCCAAGAAAAGGAGGCCCAGGCAGCCCAGTGAGTCTCCCCAACTGCTCTCCTGCCCCAAACCCCTGAAAGCTGCCCCAAACCACCAACCACTTGGTTGCTGTTGACCACCCTGCAAAAGGTTCAACTTTTTAAAAATTTAGTGGAAAACACCTTTATTTCCTAAAAAGTTAAAGTCTAAAGATCCAACCCAATAGCAGTCAAGACCAGAACCCCCTGAAAGCTGCCCCAAACCACCAACCAAAGCTGACTTCTGGGAGACCAATTCCTTAGCTGTTGGCTGAGGGCTGAGAAAAAGTGCTTCGACATGGGCATCAAAGGTTGAATCATGCAGCTATTGAACTTGAAATGTCTGGTTCAATCTTGGACCCGTGTTTAAGATGGAATTTTGAGGGTCCAGGTGGCACGTTTCTAAGCCTTCCCGGCCTTTCCGGTTGCTTCGCTAAGGCCTCGGCTTAAGTGCTTCGATGACAATCACGGCTCTCTTCAGCTTGGCTCCTCGGTGTGGCTGGATCAACGACAAAATATCTGACGGCAACAAGGCAGCCGCAAACAGCATGGGTGTGGTTCAAAAAATAGAAGAACAAAAACATCAACCTGGGGTCCGAGTCCTGGTCAACATGACCCATACCCACTTCATGCACCAATTCGGCATCCAGAAAAAACATGTCTTTGTGTGGCCAAATTGGGGGGCAGTCCACCGCGGTCCTGGACCTAAAAGGCATGGCGTTGATCACAAACTTGCTCAATAGATTCTTCTATGGTTTTTAGAAACTGCCTTGGTTGACGTTGGAAGGGGAGCAAAAATTAAGTAGCAAAAATACAAAATGTTTCCCAACAACAACCATGCTGCCTAGATAGCCAAGTTGCTTGCTGGTTTTTTGATGGCAAAGTGGATGGGAAAAGGCGATCGCAACGGGCGATCCAGGTGAAAAACACATGCTGTGACCCTCACTTCTTGGGCCACCGGGTGCCCGAGAAGTGAGCTTAGGATGCCTTTCGCTGATTTGTGGCCTCAATACCTTTCGGGGTCTAGGAGTCAAAAGAGGGGTTTGCGCTTTTGGCTTCGAGAAGAAACGCAACGAGGTCCCAACAACTTGAGGTACTGTGTGCCATGTATGCCCCGACGTGTATGCATCTTGATCAAACCATAGCCTGTGAATAATCCACATTCCCACAAAATGCCAGGGCGAACCTTTGCTTTGTGATTGAGAGAAGTGGCTGTCGTACTTCTTCCAGGTTTCTTGTTTGTTCAGAATGTCGTGGATGGTGCATTCACACTCACTTGCTCCTATTGGTTGACTGGCTATAAGATATGATGGGACATCGCAAATTGCCAAGGGGCAGCTTTAGTCAGTTGCAGCTAATACGGGTTTGACCCCGCCAGGATTCGAAGGACAGGCCCAAAACCATGTCAATTTCTGTAGGATTCCCGGGTTCACATCGGCCCCTCGACCTCCGCCGTGTTTTTGGGATGTCCTTAATCTCCAACTCGATCCAAACCACCAATTCTATCCCCTGCAGATTAACATCCCCAAAAAAACACTGCCCTCCAGAAATTGGACTTTTTGGGGTTCCATGTAGATATGCAGGAGAGCAAGGGTAAGCTAACTTTACAGACTCCTCTTGGATGTGTCCCTTAGTCGAAACCAATGTGCACCAAGGAATCAACCAACCCCGGTTCAGATCACAGCGGCATGTGTGTGTGTGTGTGTCTTTATTTGAGGGAAACCTCTTTTGGTAGTCTTTTTTTGCGAAACCAAAAGGAAAGCCCGCAATTTTAGGGGATCTCCATGGTCCCCTTTAAAAAAAAAAAACAAAAACTGCGGCGTTTGTGTTTTGGTACTCTTCTTGTTTGATTTGTTTTTTTCGGGGGGGACGGGGGGTTCGACGTATGGACTTGTTCCTCGAATTCAGGTGGCCTTCTTTGTCAACACACTTCCGAATGCGATCTTGATGGCCTCGTGATTTTGTTGAACCCAGAACTTCAAGGTATTTACCCAGCACCAATAGCACATGTTCTTTTTGAACTGCAAGTTAAAATGATTCTTCCTGCACCCGGCCGGGGCGAGTGGCTTGCAACAAGAATCAAGGCCCCGGCTCAGCTCGTCGCACTCGCAGCTCGCAGTTCGCCTGAGCTCTGCGAGGATTCTATCTGCTTCCTCGTCATTGATGGTTTGGATTGGTGGCTTGGAGCAGGGTGGTTTGGTGGTTGAAAGGAGGTGGTTTCCCATTTGTCTTCGACAACCCGTTCATTTCGACCAACCACCAATCCAACCCACCAACTTAAGGGCTACCTACCCCCCTGAACCTGGGAAGTGGTGTGACATCTTCCGAGTGCTCGGTCTACTTGGCGTTCCTTTTGACATGAAAAACAAATGGGTCCTCATTCTGACGCATACCCAAATTAAACTCTCCTCTGCCCCAGCAAATGAAGATTGCTGAAGGCTATACCCCCATCTTGGCGAAAGGGGGTCTAGAGTTGACCGGAACTCAGAGGGATGCCGCCTTTGCAAAATAAAATCGCGGCTGCCAGAGCCAATCGGAAATAGAAGCTAGAATTGCAGGTAGCTAGAGCGGCTCCAAAGTTCCTTCTTGAAAATGCCACACTTTTGCGGGAACTGCAAACTAAGCGCGAAATAAGCACCCAGCGTGGCGATATATGGCAGTACTCAGGTCTCATGGGCGGATTCCTTCGAATGTTTGAAGTTGATCTAAGGGTCGCTGTAACAACCCCAGTTTATGCATCGGGGTGTGGGGGCCCTCCCAGAGTGGTCTGATTCCCCACATTTCACTTAGGGACAGGCCCCCTTTCAATAAACTGGGGGTGATTGATATGGGGTCAACGTTACACGATTTCTGAGCTTTATGAATACTTCAGTTCACTCCCAAGCAGAGAGTGGGTTGCTCCACTTGGAGACATAGCCCAAGGTGTGTTTTTTTGCAGGGTACCCTTGTTCAATTTTTTGTTTAAAGGAAACCAAATTAAAAGATAAGAAAGCCAGCATTTTATTGCGGGGACTATATCGACAGAAACCCATCTGAACATCGGTTTTACTCCCCTTAAACTTGATTGAACATTATTCAAGCTTCCGCGGACCCTTGCGGTCAACAGGATTGTTCCGCGTTCTTCCGCGGGACATGCGCGAGTATTGGCGCAGAAAGGGCTGTTCACAAATCGAAACAGTCCATGTCAAACCACAAGGTTTCTGCGATCTTCTGCGATCCGCGAAAGAAATCCCTTCAGCAATGTGACACTGTGGCGGAACGTGCGCATGCTTAAGAATCATGCACCTCTCCGCGCTGTTTGACACTTGTGGGTTTAAACAAAAAACACATCTCTTAGGTTGCTGAAGACCCTTCTGCAGAGATGTTTCAAGTTTTTGTGGGTCCAACTCGGAAAATCCGTCCAAAACTCTGTTACCAAATATAGCCATAAAGATCTGGAGACCACCCTCCCTGAATTCACACGCAATCGCAGGCAGGCAACGGGCTGGCCATTCATCCGACGCGGCTTCGGTGCGGCTTCCGCCAGCGGGCTTCAGCCGCGACCCGCTCGAAGGCTCACTCCGAGTTTATGCCATGCCCCTGCAAATGTCTTGCTGGTGCGATGGGTAGGGAATGACCTAGCGAGTCCGGGTGTTGGGAATGAACCGGAAGGGGTTCCAATTGACAGAAACCAGCAGTTGGATGGCTTATAGGGGTCATTCCCTCTCATTCCCTGCTAAGCAACACTTGTGCACTTGTCGAACGAAACAACTCAATCACTAGATCTATCACACGTATTCGAATTGCGCAAAACCATATTTTGGCCTCAGAAACCATCCTTTTGGGTCAATTTGAGCGTATGCCTATGAGTTTTTAATAGGGAAGCACCTCAAAAGTGGTTGGTGGACATCCCCACCTACATGATGTCCACCAAAAGGTCCCCCATTTAAACTTGGGCCCATCCACGGCGCCCTGCGAAAATCTTGAGGCCACTGTACTTGTGTGCGGTCAAATAGTTAGTTGATCATCGCTATGCTGTGAAACACTCATATGGCAATGTTGACAATAAATATGTTTCTTTCGAGAACCCTGGCATGCTGCTCCGCTATTCCTATTCATATGATGCATCCCGCGAGAAGGCGTGAACGTCAAAATTAACATCACACCTCAAAAAACGCCGATTTTGAGCACTTGTGTGCTGCGGAAACGCCAGGCCTGTCGCAAACAAACAACAAAAAGGGCACGCAATGCCCAGGCAAGCAGGTGCTGTCAGCCTTCGAACGAATCACGCGTGCTGCAAGCTGTGTCGAATACAAGGCTCATATCCTGCACCCCGTTTGAAACCATGAGAAACCATGGTTTATTGGCATTTACAGGGGAATCATCCTTCCAGCAATTCTTGGGTGGTGCAGGATTTTATCCACAATATTATGGCAAACCAAAGTGCAATGCCTTCTCACGGTGCAAAATCGGCCCTGCCTGGCTTTCTTGGCAGGCCTGCGCTCCCATGTTTGCGGCAACCTTCAGTTAGTCCAAATGACCGAAACTCCAACTACCGGATCCCGTTAATCAACATACCAGTTCTGATAATTTTGGTTAATGGTTTCAAGGTAATGGGTTGACGTATCCAATTTCAGCACATAAGGCATGATGCACACTTCCGAGGAACACATTTGATCTCTTCATCCAACAATACAGCATTGCATGCTGAATAAACAAACCCTGGTGGTTATCCCAAATTGCCTCATGCGCAAGCCGCCAAATCCGAAGTTGTCAAAAACACGATTGAGATTTGCAGATGCGATTAGTTCGGGGGAGCAAACGGCCCACTAACGTCCATTATATCAGGCCAAGAGACCTCCTTTGCTTGCACGTGGTAGGGCTAATGATTGCACATTGTTGCCAACAACCAAGTCCCAATGATTTGTCGTGTAACACAGCAATTTCAACCAAATCTTGGGTAATCTCAGCAAGCTATTTTGCCATCTTGGAAAACCCCTCCTCAGGCTATGGCATCCCTCATCCAACTGACAATCCGGGTTTGCGACCCGCAAAAATAAACCCCACCCCGCCCCCACCCGCAACAACACCCGACACCGTCTTTGAATCAACCCCAAAACCAACACTAGCCCGAAGTCAAACCGAAACACACCTAAACTAACCAAACATACACCAAACGTAAACCAACCAAGTTATACAAAGCTGGCAGCCCCTCCAGCTGTGCAAAAACCATCGGAACTTGAATCCCTAGCTTGGACCCATGCACGAAATTAACGACCCTTCCGGCGGTTGCGTTTAGCAGTTTTGTGTGGACTTGACCCTGCCAGCGGGTTGTAACCCAAGTCCACTTACTAGCTAACATCCAAGTATGGGAGTATTAAACATGCTCAAGCTCAATCTTACCTGGACCCTCTCAATTTCCTTATACATCGTTTTTGCCCCAAATTTATGGTTGGTGACTGCCCATCTTTCAGGGTAGTTTGAAGATCCTACCCGTTTCACCGCCCTTCGCTCGCCTTCCCACGATGTAACAAATCTCCACGGTCTCACGGCATGCCAGGGCTCCCGACTTCTCCGCCGGCTTCTCGCTGCAGCGCAGCCAGGCCTCCCGAGCTTCTCACACGTCGTGCCGGCCAGTTGCAGCCAGTGACCCCGACAGAAGTTTGGGAGCACTTGGCGAAATTGACACCCAAAAAAACGTGGGTAACCCAACAGGCTGCAGGGGGGGAACGATGCCTTTGGAAAAACGGTCTTGTTGTCTTACGTCGGGTTTCAACTTAGAGGGAAAACAACAAAAACAGAAACCACAGGTTGGTAACTAGAAGAAATGAAGACCGTGAAACAAGATGCTGGTTGGCAGTTGCATAATGCGTACATTCACAGGAACCACGGACACATGCAGGTCAATATTGCAATCCTCCAATGGGGATCAAATCCTAAACAATTGTCCCAAGACATGCTGTGCAGGAAGTTGAGGCCAGAAAGTGAATAAAGATTGCCGCATCCGAGCTGCAAACCTTGACTCACTTCCTCAGTGCACTGGCCAAACAAGACTAGGTCCTCCAGTAGAGAGGTTAGAATAAGGGTACCCTTTTTCTGTAGTCTATTAAGTAGGGGAACCCTCCCCCAAAACAAAAAAAACACATTGAACTCAGGTAGAGAGTTGAAGTGCTGTAATCGTACTTGAAGTGTTGTTTGAAGCGTCGTTCAGGCCAAATTTAAGCTCAATGAATCCGTCCAATTCCTCAAGGCCCTGGAAAAGTCAGCAAAAAACAATAGTAATATATTACATTCCTTTCAAAGCCAACCAACAAAAATCCAATTAGTCTTCAAGAAATGGAAGAATCAGCTCAGGAAGGAACTAGGCTGACGGCGGGATCAAAAGCAGGCGTTTTCTCGGCTGGGTGTTCCGGTGGAAGCCAAAAAAACAACTCCCAGAAAGAGCTCCCAGGAAAAACACATGTCATTTTTGGACCGGGTGCGGCACAGTGGACATTGCGGGGAGACTCCCAGAAAGAACAAACACCTTTGCCGCATCTTTGCCGCATCTTTGCCTCCGCTCTTGCATGAGGGGAACTCGCACTTCACGAAGGTTAGAGAGGAGATTGTCCATCATACTGTGGATGGTTGCGAAATCCACTTCGCACCACTTTGAAATCATGGGAGACCATGGTTTGTTGGTGTTTGCAGGGGAATCATGATTCCAGGGTTTCTTAGGTGGTGCAGGATTTTGTCCATCCACTGTATAAAGTTGCTGGCAGTAAAATAGTCCGGGGCCTGAAGCGGAAAACGACACACGCAATCAGCCTTGGGATATGAACAAAAAAACAAAACAGCATCAAACGCGATACATGTGGGAAATGCCAACTTAAACAAAACAAACATCTATGCAAACGCTCGATTCGGCGACATGGGCCCAGCATCGCAAAACGTGATGGACTTGATATCTTGTGGTAGGAAACAACATCTTTCAGGGTGTATCTTGCACTTCTCCGCTAAAAATGTGTTCTGGTTTTGTGCAATCTCTTGAACAGGTTCGATGCTTGCACATGAGTCAGGTCGACTTGTTCCCGCAGGTAGTAGATATGTCACGATTGGAGTCCTCTGGGTGTTGTGGTCAATTTAGTGAGTTCTCCATGTCCCTCCAAATGGACCATGGACTGGAAATTCTGAACTCATTAGAACGAGATTACGACATCGCGTCCGGCCATGAAAACAAAAAAACACGGGGCGCCTCTTGTGCAGTCAGTGACACAAACCAGGCGTTCCGATTGTCAGGCTGCAAAACCCTCCCTCATCTTGTATCAATACCAAAATACAACCCGCAAATGGAACAAATGGCCGGAACAAAACATGCCTGGACCTTCAAAATTCCCATGCAAATCGATTCTTGCCCAAAAATTCTGAGGCGACTTCCCATTGTTGAGGGCGCCTCCGTGATCTCCTCTTGCGTCATGGGTCGCCCCACTGCGCCGATCTGCAAATCCGGAATGCCCAGGCTATAGGCGGGAGAAACACGGAAAATCCGAGCAACCCATGTGAGTCACAATCAAAAAGGACACTGGGACACTTCAAGGACTGAAATTACATATTAGCCAGCACTCTCTTGACCACCGGAGTGAGGTTATCACAAGGAAAACGTACAGCTGCAATGACAAGCTGCCAGCGAAGGATGCAGTCGCAGATTTATGGTGGTCATTGTCCCGAGAACAAACAACAAACAACTTCACATTTGTGAAAACAGCAATTGCTGCAGCATTTATGATTGCAAATTGTTCATGCTTGATCTGGCCTTCTTTCCGATCTTTCCGAACAGCCCATTGAAGTACCTGCTACTAGCATCAGCGCGCATCATGTCGCTAAGTGTTTTTGTGCAAACAAAACACGCAGCATATATGGTGACATGAGTGCGCGGCGCACTTCTCGATCTTGGCTCTGTTGTTGGTTTTGCTCAGAACATAAGCTACCTGCATGTTGCACATCTCGCCGGCGTGACCCCCACTTGCTTCCCCCATCGGTGTGGGAAACCATTTACAAGTCTGCTGAACAAAAAATATCCCTAGGATAGTACAACTAGAAACAAATCCACATGCATCTGCACGACGCCGCAGGTCTGAGTGCTGAACAAGTTCATCCACACCCCCAGTGTTCTCCTCCTGCAGGCGGGCACCGAGACCGTGACAATCACCAGCCAAAAGCAAGCGTCCGCCTTCTTGTTCTTTCGGTCGTCTTCACCTGTTGAAACACGGCGCAAATCGCAGCCACATTGGCAGCAATGAAAAACGCAAGGCAAGGTCTGCCACCACGTACATGCCGCATGTCAATAGCAGGCAAACAAATGTCATGGTTGGCGACGGAAGTTTTCACCATGAATCAACTACGTACATACAAGTCAATTGTGTTGTTCACACATTTTCACCAACAGCTCGAACGGTTGTGGAACTTTATGTTGTCCATAATTTTGTCCACTGCCACTGACCCTGTGGTTTTATACTATGTAACGCAGTGGGAAA